TTGCATACATTCAACAATCATTATTCTCACGCACACGATTCCACGCGTGCATTGTGAGCATACGACGCTTAGTAACGCGCCTCCAGATGTGCCCAACACTCTAATGCCTTGACGTCACTTTGTGATCACTCGGGAGTTGAGCGGTGGGATACGGGGAGGTGGAACGGTGGCTCAGAGGCCGTAGCGTGCCTCGGAGGCGTCCCCGGGGCCCCAAAATGAAATCCAGGCAGCCGCCTTTTACTGAACGTGGCATCTCAGACGTGGCGAGATTTCTCGTCTCAGCCCAGACACCACCGAATGACCGCACACACACACAAAAGAAATATCCCAACACCTTAAATTCGGTTCTGCACCAAATGTTCTCCCCGTGGTCGCGAGGATTTTTGTCCGAGTCCTCTCGGTTTTTCACTCCACACTTAGAATCAACGGGCGTCTTAGAGCATTTGGCTGCTATACATTTCCACGTGATGATAATAATAATCCACTTGGTTCGGCTATGATATGTGGTCCAGGTCGCTTTCTGAAAAAGAGCTCTTTCGCTCAGTGAGTCTTGCCTGGTAAAATACAAAGTTAGTTAGTTAGTTCATAGACTGGAGGGAATTGATGCACATCACTGAAGGGCTCCACAAAGTGGCTTTCTGACCGCCAGCAAATAACCTGTTGGAGTTTCATGCGGCTAGGTGCTGCTCGCCCACTGTAGCCCCCCCCGTGCCACCATGGACTAGCGGCCCCCCACAATGTGTCCTCTACTTGCTATGAGCTCTCAGGGCTGCCCTGATTGTTCACAAAGCGTAAGGGTCGCGACAGCTCCTCTGTCAGTCCTCCGCTGTCTAAGTTGTCTCTCCGCGCCTCCAGCATCTCTCGCCGCCCGGCGTTGCGGCGATCCACCCATCTGCGATCTGCGTCTCGTGTAAACAAAATCATGATCATCGTCTTCTTCTTTTTCTCCTTCATTGTGCGGCTGATGTTGATGTACGGAGCAACGGCTGTAGTTCTACACTGAGTTGGTTTTGCCAAATGATTGCGTCTTGAGTAGCGGCGTAGTGCATCGCTGTGATGATGAAGTGGTGATGATGATGTGGTGATGATAATGTGGTGATGATGATGTGGTGATGATGATGTGGTGATGATGATGTGGTGGTGATGATGTGGGGATGATGTGGTGATGATGTGGTGATGATGATGTGGTAATGATGATGTGGTGATGATGAGGTGGTGATGATGATGTGGTGATGATGATGTGGTGATGATGATGTGGTGATGATGTTGATGTGGTGATGATGATGTGGTGATGATGATGTGGTGATGATGATGTGGTGATGATGTGGTGATGATGATGTGGTGGTGATGATGTGGTGATGATGATGTGGTGATGATGATGTGGTGATGATGATGTGGTGATGATGATGTGGTGATGATGATGTGGTGGTGATGATGTGGGGATGATGTGGTGACGATGTGGTGATGATGATGTGGTAATGATGATGTGGTGATGATGAGGTGGTGATGATGATGTGGTGATGATGATGTGGTGATGATGATGTGGTGATGATGTTGATGTGGTGATGATGATGTGGTGATGATGATGTGGTGATGATGATGTGGTGATGATGTGGTGATGATGATGTGGTGGTGATGATGTGGTGATGATGATGTGGTGATGATGATGTGGTGATGATGTGGTGATGATGATGTGGTGATGATGATGTGGTGATGATGATGTGGTGATGATGATGTGGTGGTGATGATGTGGGGATGATGATGTGGTGATGATGTGGTGATGATGATGTGGTAATGATGATGTGGTGATGATGATGTGGTGATGATGATGTGGTGGTGATGATGTGGTGATGATGATGTGATGGTGATGTGGTGATGATGATGTGGTGATGATGATGTGGTGATGATGATGTGGTGATGATGATGTGGGGATGATGATGCCTCCTTCGTATTGTGAATTGGGAATTGTTTCGTGAAACTTTTCATGGTCATGGTAACATTTATAATAACCCTACAACCCTTTATCGATACAGCGCTGCATGAAGGCTTCCCTACACTTTTTGGTCATTGGGGAATCGTTTTACCATACTTCACCACATTTGCAAGTGCAGGTTTGTGAAGGGTGTTCGCGCTCCCAGGGAAAGGTCTCAGATGTCACTTGCCACCGGCGCTTGCCATGGCCGGGAATCGAACTCGGTGCGCCGGGTTTGTGGCAACAATGCGCCAAACCCACCGCGCCACCGCTCCACCATCGCGGCCTCGCTCCGCGTCTCAGACGAGCGACCCACGGGGGCCTTGACGGCTCGCCCAGGGCGGTGGCCGAAGACGCGGGGTAACGGACGGGGACAATCTTGCGTCCTCGCCGCCACGGTTAGCGCAGATCGCGCGTCACACTCACCGCAGGAGGAATAGGAACAAGGATGACAAAAATAATAATAGCAACAAAAATAGCAACAATAACAACAAAAATAGCAATAATCACAATAACAATAATAACAACAATAACAACAACAACCTTCTTGGTTCTTTCGGTAAAGTCACGAAGAAGGGAAATAATAAAATAATACAAATAAAACAAAAAAATACAGTTCAGACGCTGTTTTTCCGACAGACCTGTTCTTCACCTGAGGACGGCTGCTTGCGTTGTGGCCGAAACGTCGTGAGAATTGAATTTTATTATGTTTTATTTTTATTATTTTATTATTTCCCTTCTACGTGACTTTACCGAAAGAACCAAGAAGATGAATCCCTGCAGTCACGAAAGCTTTAAATCGAAACAACAATATCATTAATAACAAGAATAATAACAACAACAATATCAACAACAACAAGGTCTCCCGCGTGAGCGATCTGCGGTGACCATGAGAAGGCACCGCACGGCGCGACTCGAGCCCACGACGCCTCGCTGCTCAGCCTTGAACAAGTGTGGGAGCATAGCAGCGCGGTGCAGTACTGTACAACAGATGGCTCAGCTGCCGCTCTTTGTTCCGATCGTGCTGCGTGTCACCGCCCGCCCGTCCGTCCGAGCGCTGGGCAGGCTCAGGACGTGGAGCTGAGCAGCTTGTGGGATCTGTCGCGCTCGGGGCTGCGTGGCAAGGCTCTCCAAATCCATTGCCTCTCTCCCCCCAATGAAATTCGGACGAACGTCGCTCTCAACGAAAACAGAGATAATTGGACCTGCGAATAAGCGCACCCACCCACACACACCCACCCACCATCACAGTCACCCACCCTCAACCACCCACCCACCACCATTCCTCTGCCGTTTCTCCTTCATGCAGATGCGGCGACGACGCCGGCGGTGGCGAGGGGCCACGGCGGCGTGGCTCGTGGGCGGTGGGAGGCGCGCGAGCCGCATTAGCATGCAGCTCGCACGCCGCCGCCAGCTGAGCCACGGCGAGAGAGCGCCGCAGACGAACGCTGTCGGATTGGTGACCTCATCCAACACCACCACCACCGCCGCCGCCTTTCTCTGCCTCGTCGTAATGTCAGGCCCCCACCCCCGACCTCCCACCCATCTCCCACTCACCTCTCACCCACCTCCCACCCACCTTCCACTAACCTCTCACCCATCTCCACTCACTTCCCACCCACCTCCCACCCACCTCTCACCCATATCCCACCCACCTCCCTTTTTTTGCGATCAGTGGAAACAAGAAAATGCTCGATGTATTCGGCACTTTGCTTCGTTCATCATTTCGTAATTCTTTTATTTAAAATTTAAAAACTTGGCTTCATGTAACCTCCCAACCCACTTCCCTCCCACCTCCACCCTCGGACGTCTCAAATCTAGGAGGTTTTTTTTTTGTTACGCGCGTCGACTGCGCTCGCTGTGACCGTCACGCCCCATAGAATCAGCGGCGTCTTAGAGCGTGGGCGGGAGGGAGGGAGTGGGGGAGGGAGTGGGGGGAGGGAGTAGGGGGGAGGGAGGGAGTGGGAGGAGGGAGTGGGGGAAAGAGTGGGGGGAGAGAGTGGGGGGAGGGAGGGATGGAGGGAGTGGGGTGAGGGAGTGGGGGGAGGGAGTGGGGGGAGGGAGGGAGTGGGGGGAGGGAGGGAGTGGGGTGAGGGAGTGGGGGAGGGAGTGGGGAGAGAGAGGGAGTGGGGGGAGGGGGGGCTGAACCCCCCCGCCCCGCCTGCTCCAGGCTCACCCCCGCCACCTTCATCAAGGATGGAGTGAGCGAAGCATTGACTGTGCCGTGCCCCCCCCCCCCTGAGGTGTTACGTAACCCCCCCTCCCCCCCGCATGTCAGCAATGTGACGCTACCCAGGTGTTTCACCTTGACCAGCGTGCGTTGACCAGCACGGTTAAGTATGTTCACAACAACAAAACCAAAAACAACAACAACAACAACGCTCCCTCGTGACCGACAACACAAGAGTGCCGGGGCGACCTTCATCCAGCACTTCATTTAAATTTAGCCGTAAATAAACGACCGCATTTTCCACCGCTTTAAAAATCGCTCAGTTTAGTGTTTTTTTTCTTTCTCATACTCCCGTCGCTGTATCGACGCTCTCCTCCCTTGGCCGTGCATAATGCATGCGGGGTAATCGTCCCGCTTCCAGCTCACGCCCTCCGCGCTCGTTCACGACCACCGCTTGCAAAGATCCCCAGCGAGATCGCCCTCGCCAAGCCGATGACGCCTCTCTTATCCGTGCGCCGGGCCGCTCTTCATTTTTTTTTTATTTCGTTTTTTACGATCAGTTGAAACAAGAAGATGCTCGGTGTAGTCGGCACTTTGCTTCGTTCATCATTTCGTAATTTTTTTTTAAACGTTGCTTCATGTAAACCCCCACCTCTCGCTCACTCTCTCGCTCTCTCTCTCTCGTTCCGCACGCAGCCCTTCTCGCAGTCCGACGGCCTCCGACGGGCTTCATCGGTGACGCTCGCTAGCGGCACTTTCCCCACCAGCCTGTTAAGGCTATCCAGTGGACGTGTTGGGGGGTGGGGTGGGTTGGGGTGGGGGGGCGTGCGGAACCTTTGTCTTTGTGCGTGCGCGTACCGTGGCGGCGCGTCCAGGAAAGTGAGGTTCAGGCGCGACACGGTCTCGTCGCACATCTCGTACGCCATCGCCGTCGAGTATCTCTCCATGCGTGACAGACTCAGGTCGCCGTGGGAGCCGCTGTACGAGAAGCCGTCCTGCCCTGCTCCGCCACACACGGCGACAGCGGCCGCGCGCGGTCACGCGAGATCACTCGGTCACTCGCGGTCACACACACACACGGTCACCAGGTCACGCGAGGTCACACACGCGCGGTCACGCACACGGTCACTCGGTCACGCGTGAACGTCCGCTTATTCGCCGGCCGCGGTCATGTTCAATCCGCTGCTGGATGAAGGCTTCTGCAAGCCGATGCCGTCTCTCGGGGTCTTGCGTTGCGATGATCCACGTGGTGGGCAAGCCGGACCGGAGACAGCTGCCATGGATTGCAGGGTACGCCGCGATGGTGTTGCATTGATAATATTAATTTAGATGTATAAGGCACCCTTAAGGAATGGCTCACAGTAATTGCACGAGACAGAAATGTGTGAAGCCCCTTGCGTCAGTCGACTCACTGTTAGACATGGGCTGTCATCTCTCTGGTGAAAAAAAAAATCCACAAAATTCCACGGGAACAAGAAGATAAAGGGGCCTTAAATAAAATAAAAAAACACGTAAATATTAAAACACACATTTTTAATTTGCACGGTAAAGTGATTGTATGTTTTTCAGTTGCTACACAGGCAAGATAATACGACAAATCGCTAACCTTAAACACCCAGTCGTTCGTAAAAGTTGAAGGCAGTATAGTACTATAGTAATAGAGCAAGTGCAGAATCACTGAACCGAAATCGATAAGCTTGAAAGAATTTAGCGCGGGGCCCTTGAAAGTGCGGGGCCCGTAGCTACTACATATGTAGCTACTACACATGTAGCTACTACGCGTGTAGCTACTACACGCTTAGCTGCTACTACACGTGTAGTAGCTACTACATGTGTAGCTACTACATATGTAGTACATGTAGTAGATATGTAGTAGCTACATATGTAGTAGCTACTTGTGCTACGAGCATAATCCGGCACTGCCTGCATGCATCGTCTCGCTTGGTGGATCATCACGCCACCGACAAAGCTGACACTTAAATTGTAAAGGACCACCGATTGATCGATTGGCAACGATGACGATTCGTCAGCTTGCCGTGCCGACCCCGGCTCTCTCTGCGTGCGTGTGCTCATCCGGTATTGCCAGGTGGAGAGCCAAGCCACAACTTTAACAAACTGATTACGACGTTTCGCCAGTAATCACAACCAGCTTCATCAGGCGACAGCCAGAATTGTGGAGATTTGTGTGGACTGTAAATGTTGTGGCTTTACGCGATCTAACCCAGAGGGACCTGTATAATGTACCTCGAGCATTTGACATTCGCCTGAGGTCTGAACCACCATCCCTGAGCCAGAACGCGCCCACCCATTGCTCTGAGCGCTGCACTCGGCTCGCGTCTGGAACGGGTCGCGTTCTCTCCACTATAACCGGCACGGCATGGGGCAAACACCGCCAGCTGTTTTTTTTTTATAGCGCAGTCTCGTTTCAGGATCGGGATGAAACTATACGAAACTATGAAATAGAAATTTATTTATTTAGTTATGTATGTATCTATTTATTTGTTTATTTTTTCCAGGTAAGGCCCACTGAGCTATACAGCTGTAGTTTGTTTTCAGAAGCGACCTGGTAACATATGACAGCTCAAAGAATTGGCTTATCACGTGTAAATGCATGGCACCCAAATACTCCAAACGCGCGATGTTGATTCTAAATGTGGAGGAAAAACACCGAGGACCTGAAGAGAAATCCACGTGACCTTAGAGAGAGGTACACGCAATCTCCAAATATACAGCAGCAGGCGTCAGGGTCAGGATCGAACCCACGACCTCCTGTGTACCAGGCGATGTAGTTAACATCTCCTAGCCACCGTGATGATGATGAGAGAGAGACATCGCAATCTCCAAATATACAGCAGCAGGCGTCAGGGTCAGAATCGAACCACGACCTCCTGTGTACCAGGCGAGGGAGTTAACATCTCCCAGCCACCGTGTTGATGATGAGAGAGAGAAAGAGAGACACCGCAAACTCCAAATATACAGCAGGTGTAAGGGTCAGGATTGAACCCACGACCTCCTGTATACCAGGCGATGTAGTTAGCATCTCCAAGCCACGGAGAGTCGAACGCGGTCCGACATTTCGGCCCAAAGTTAAAATCCTCCAGAGCGCAAGGCGGGGACATAAGTGGCGGGGTAGCAGGGATGGGGGTGGTGCGGGGATGCGGGGATGGGTGGTGGGTGTGCGGAGATGGGGTGGGGTGCGGGTCTGGGGGGTGCGGGTCTGGGGGGTGGGGGTGCGGGTCTGGGGGATGCGGGTCTGGGGGGGGGGGCGGCACCTGCGGTGGGCAGCGACCCGAGCTGCGAGCCGCGCGCCGTGGAGCGGCTGTCCTTCTTGAGGCTCCCGGCGACGATGGTAACGCACGACAGCAGCAGCACGAGGCCGATGACCATGCCGGCCACGACGAGCGGGGACACGAGCAGGCTGGCGCTCTCGCCCGCGCCGCCCGCACCCCCGACCCCGATGCCGTCCACCGCCACCGCAGCGCCGCCCGCGCTCATCCCCCCGGCGCCGAACCCCGCGGTGCTGAACCCCGGCGCCGTTGACTCGCTGTGGTTGGACGCCGCCACCACCTCTGCGCGAGCGTCCGACAAGGCGCGGTCATCGGCGTTCTTATGCAAGGGTTAGGCGGTGGTGGTGGTGGTGGTGGGGATGGTGGTGGTGATGGTGATGGTGTTGATGGTGATGCCCAAAACGTTCCTCAAGTTATGTTTTTACTTGTAAGGCCACGCGGTGTTCTTATCAACGAACGAGTTGCGTTTAAATTTCGATTTAAAGCTTTCGTGAGTGCAGGGATTCATCTTCTTGGTTCTTTCGGTAAAGTCACGTAGAAGGGAAATAATAAAATAATGAAAATAAAACATAATACAATTATTTTATCCTTTTAAATTTTTTTTTATTATGTTTTATTTTTATTATTTAAAACATAATAAAATAATTATATCGTTTTATCCTTTTAAAATAATTTTATTATGTTTAATTTTTATTATTTTATTATTTCCCTTCTACGTGACTTTACCGAAAGAACCAAGGAGACGAGTTGCGTTTGTTTGTGTTGATTGTGCAACATTGCCAACGGAGCAGCGGCAGCATCGGCAAACAGTTCGTTGATCATACACCGTCATTCACGCAGACAGCATCTCACACCACCGCACGCGTCCCTGCACGCGGAGGCGCGTGTATAGGTCGCAAAGCTTTCAGTCAATTCACGGCCGTTCGTAAGCGCGCGGGAGGAAACCGGAGCACCCGGGCAAAAACGCACGCGTCCAAGGAAGCAACTCCCCCCCTACCGATGGAACAGATGGAGATTAGTCCTCGCTTCGCTGGGTCGCCGTTCTCCTTGTGAGCCACGGGGTGTGGCCATTGGAAGGGAGTTTGACAAAACTAAAACTGAACTATTTTTGTACTTGTTTTACACGGTAGGGAGGGGCCCACTAAGCTACGTAGCTCGTTTTCAAAAGCGACCTGTCCGTCACAAATGATAGCCAGACGAACCGGGCTTATCGCGTGGAAACGTATGGCAGCCGAACAATCTGAACGCGTGATGTTGATTCTAAATGCGGAGGAACCACGCGACCACGGAGAGAGAGACACGCAAACTCCAAATATACAGCAGCAGGCGTCTGGGTCTGTATTGAACCTACGACCCTCCTGTATACCAGGCGAGGTATAATTAATATCACGCCGACATTTATAGCAGCCAAATACTCTAAATGCGTGTTTCTAAATGTGGAGGGAAATATACAGGGGTCAGGGTCTGGATCGAACCCACGACCTCCTGTATACCAAGCGAGGTAGTATTAATATAACGCCGACATTTATAGCAGCCAAATCATCTAAGTGCATATTTCTAAATGTGGAAGGAAATACACAGCAGGCGTCAGGGTTGGGATCAAAGCCACAACCTCCTGTATTCCAGGCGAGGTAATTAACATCTCCTAGCCACCGTGATGATGATGAGAGAGAGACACTGCAAACTTCAAATACACAGCAGGCGTCAGGGTCGGGATCGAACCCACAATCTCCTGTATACCAGGTGGGGTAGTTAACATCTCCTAGCCACCGTGATGATGATAAGAGAGAGAGAGACACCGCAAACTTCAAATACACAGCAGGCGTCAGGGTTGAGGTCGAACCCACGACCTCCTGCATACCAGGCGAGGTAGTTAACATCTCCTAGCCACCGTGATGATGATGATGATGAGAGAGAGACACCGCAAATTTCAAATATACAGCAGGCGTCAGGGTCGGGATCGAACCCACAACCTCCTGCATACCAGGCGAGGTAGTTAACATCTGTGCTGTGACCCACACTCACGCGAGCAGACGAGGGGCAGGTCCCAGCCGCACTCGCGCGCGAGCAGACACTGCAGCTCCTCGATGATGCAGTGGCCGTCGCGACAGCGCAGCTCATCCTGACCACACTCCTCCTCCTCGTCCCGCGAGTCTGACGTTCACACGGTGGGGAGGGGGGCACGTGGGTTGTGGGGGGGGGGGGTGCAGGGAGCGGGCGTTGCAGGGAGCGGGGTGGAGATGATAGAAACATGAGTTTAGAGCAGTGTTATTACTAATAGGATTTATTCCCTTTTTCTGGCAACAAAACTGTCATCTGGTGGAACACCACATGAGACTAGGCTCTAAAGAAAGCTGTCTCTGGTGTGGACCAATCAATTTCAAAGACAATGCATAAATTATCACAGTGCAAGGAATCATGCTTACATTAACCACAATACTTGCAGTCACATGCAAACAAAAAACAATAGTCTGATAATTTATGCATTGTCTTTGAAACTGATTGGTCCACACCAGAGACAGCTTTCTTTAGAGCCTAGTCTCATATGGTATTCGACCAGATGACAGTTTTGTTACCAGAAAAAAGGGGAAAAACCCTATTAGTATATTTTGGTACTGGCAAAGGAGGTCCCATAATAGAGCAGTGTTGTTCACTAATTTTCAGGGGCGGGGCGCTACTTTCGCCGATAAGACATGATCGGTGTGAGGGCCTCCACCCTCCACACATTTGAAACCATTGGGGGTTGACATCACGATGATGGAGTGCGTCTGTGTCCACGCAGTATCCCGCGGGATTTGCAATGAAGAACACCGGTTTAGAGTGTTTCGCTGCTATAAATGTCCACGCGATAAGCCACTTCGTTGAGCTATCATGTTGTGGCCAGATCGCTTATGAAAAAGAAGCTGATAGCTCAGTGGGCCTTACCTGGTAAAATAAAAAAAATCGTTTTATTTGTGTCGATTTTTGTTGCGCTTTGCTTGACGATGGTCAATGCGGATTGACGAAGGCAAGCAGGCAAAGTGCGTGGACAACAACGCACGTTGCTGCAAGGCCCCTCTGCCCTATTTCAACTTTGCCGAACATTTCGATGGAGTCAAATGTATTTTTTTATGTTTGAGTCTTCGTCACCGGCGTCTGCAGCTTAATCCACATTCCATACGCCTGCCAATTTTTTGTTTTACCAAGGTAATCCCTCCCAGCGTGATGGAATGTGGCTGGCATGTACCCAGGCGCAAGACATTTAATGGTGGGGGGCCTTGTACAATTTCCTATAACGGCGCATAGCCCCCCCCCCCCCCTCCTCATGTTCACGGGGGCTTTGGTTTCCCCGTGGCCGGACTCGCCGGCACGCGGGGAGCGAGCGAGCGAGTAAGGGGGAAGAGGAGAAGAGACGGCGCTTGAAGGGGCGGCGATGGGAATGTTGGGAATATCTCGAAGGGAAAGGAGGCAGAATGAAAAACAAAAGCTAGAAATGTATCGGGGGTCACTAATGCACTTGAGAGACTCAGGAAGGCCAATCGTACTAATCGGAGATGCGGGGGAAGGACAATAACCTAAACACCAAAAATCAGCTCTCAAGAAATGAGTTTTCAATTTAGAAATGGGTCTGTGGTGTGAAGAGACGAAGAGGAGATCGTGAGGAGGGCTATGGAGATTAGAGACCCGTAGACTCAAACAGAGGTCCGAAGATTGACCCAGAAACCCATCGATTCAAACAGAGACTCGTAGACTCACGGAGAGAGAGAGAGACCGGGTAATTGACACACAGACCCATAGCTGAGAACCGCTACGGGTGCAGAAGGAGTAGAGGCAGACCGGGGTGGGGGTACGGGAGGGTGCGCTGGGCGATATGCGAGGATTGTGGAAGTGAGGAGATGGGAGAACATTTTAACCGGCGCCCGCCTGCAATCACGAGACGTAATGCACCGCTGCCGAACACGGTGTCACGCATTACCGTGCAATAATAATGAGAGCTTTGGTTAAAGAAAGAAACCCCAGACCGAGAGACTGGACTCACCGATGGTTTGGTTAAGGCCGGATGCCCATCCCACGTAAACTTCTTGGTACAGGAATGTCAGAAAGGCTGCAAGAAACACACAGACACACGCACAGACACACGCACAGACACACGCACAGACATACACAGACACACGCACAGACACACGCACAGACGTGTTGGAATCCAGAGAGAGGACGGGACATGTCCCGAGACATGGTGACACTGCGTCCGTGGCATTGGTACGCAATCACGAATGAACGAAACTATTTAAAACTATTTTTATTTTATGAGAATAGGCTTTTTCCCCTTTTTTCTGGCAACAAAACTGAAACCTTTTTACAAGGAATCGTGTCTGCGTTAACCACAATAGTTGTGGTCAGAATGCAAACAAAAACACACTCTGATAATTTATGCATTGTCCTTGAAACTGATTGGTCCACACCAGAGACAGCTTTCTTTTGAGCCTCGTCTCAAACGCTGTTAGACCAGAGGACACCAAAAGGCGTTCAATAATATAATGCCTCTATTATCAGAGTATGTTTTTTGTTTGCATTCTGACCACAAGTATTGTGGTTAATTAAGACACGATTCCTCGTAAAAAGATTTCAGTTCTGTAGCCAGAAAAAAGGGGAAAACCCTATTCTTATATTTTGGTACTGGCAAAGGAGGTCCCATGATATTCTTATTCTATTTTGCCGGGCAAGGCTCACTGAGATATATAGCTTCGTTTTGAGAAGCGACCTGGCCACAAATCATAGCTCAACGAAGTGGCGTGTCGTCTCGTGTGGACATCTAAAGCAGCCAAATGCTCGAAACGCGTGACGTTGATTCCAAATGTGGAGGGGAAAACCGGAGGGCCCGGAGAAAAATCCGCGCGACCACGGGGAGAGAGACACGCAAACTCCAAATATACAACAGGTGTCGGGGTCGTCATTGAGCCTACGTACGCCTGCATACCAGGCGAGGGAGTTAGCATCTCGTAACCGCGGTGCCTTTTCACAGAGGCTGCCAACACGATTGTCTGTGACACCGCCTCGCAGCGGAAGACGTCCACAATCGGTGATCTTTTTGCCGGTGGCCCATCTCCTCTGCTACGATGATCGGGGCTTTAAACAAACAGTTGCCCGAAATGCTACGCCACGTGTGTTGCTTTTCATGTACACGCACAGCCCCTTTGTTCAATCCACTGCTGGATGAGGGCCTCCCCACGAACCCGCAGATCGCCGTGGGCGTTCTTTGACCATACTTCACCTCGCCGGTCGGTTGACGAAAGTAGGGGAGCATACACGAGGGAGCATATGAGTACAGCACAACGATGGATTTGTATGCACCGACAATGTAGCCCCGCAGCAGCCTATCGCATCTGCTTTACGCTGGGCAGTCGCCAAAAAACGTTAACAACTCTGCAGTCTCAAACCTGCTTAGCATCCAAGGTCTGATGAGATCGGAGTATTTGGTCGGATGCTTTAGCTCTGTATCGACTATAAAAATAGATTACATTCATTATTATTATTATATGACCCATGGTTCACAAAGACAGCACAACACTGCCTAGACAGCACACTGAGGTGAATCGGCACCGGATCGTCGATTCATCTGACTCCTGAATCAAATCTGTAAATGGTGAGAAACCCTCTCGCAACGGAACGACGAGTGCAGGCTGAAGGATGTTATCTCCCTCACCCGGTGGGCAGGAAGCCGTGGGTTCGATCCCAACCCTGGTGCCTGTACCGTATACTTGGAGTTTGCATTAACTGCTTTTTGTGTTTGGAATGTTACGGAATACGTACGGTGCAAAGGAAGTTCAACATGCATGCATAACATGTCGCGTGGATTTTTATTTGAGCCCTTTCGTTTTACCCTCCACATTTAGAAACAACATGCGTTAAGATTATTTGGCTGCCACTATAAATCCCCACGTGTGATTGCGATTATGATGATGCTATCAGCTGCTTTGAAGAGCTATCATCTGTGGCCAGGTTGTCTCTGACAAGAGAACTAAATACCACAGTGGGTCTTTACCTGCTTAAATAAATATATTGAATATCGTATAAATGTCGACCTAGCCGCTTTAAATTGCCTGCTATTGAGTAGAGTTACGAAGGAAATGAAATGGCTGATTTTATTTCGTACTTATAGACTTTCTTTTGTATTTGTTTAAGTGACCCCACAGCGCCGTGATGATGTCTTCCTCGCCTGGTGTGCAAGAGGTCGGGGGTTGGATCCCGACCCTGACGCCTGTTTGTTTTGTCTGTTTGCGTGTTCTCCACCGTGGTTGCGTGGATTTGTCTCCGGGTCGTCCAGATGTTTCCCCACCACACTTCGGATCAACGTGCGTTCGGACTATTCGGCTGCTATCAATGTCCACGTGATGAGCCACTTGCGTGAGCTATCATTTGTGGCCAGGTCGTTTCTGAAAATAAGCTGTATAGCTCAGTGGGCTTTACCTGGTGAAATAAAAAAATAGTTTTTTTTGTTAACTTTTCTTAAACTTTGCACTCCCATCGTGTTTTGTTGTTGTTGTAACGTTCTGACCCGGCCTCTACTGGCGATCTGTGGAACATTGCTTGATACCTCATTGGATTCCTCCAGTGTAAATAATGACTCTGATGTAGGCTAACCACCGAAAACCACCAAAACTGTACCGTGTTGATTTGTATTCCGCTAATTCTTTGAGTCACCCTGTCCCCCTCCATTCACGCCGGGCTGGGTCTCAACCCGCCACTTAGTGATTACTCACAGCGGAGAGCAGCGGAAATAAACATCGCATTGTGCCACAGTGTCGCCGCATCTTAATGGGAAGATGTTTATTTACCGCAGCGTGTTCGACGCCAATTAACAGAATAAAGATTCGCGTGGATTTCGCTGGATGGCAGCCTTGTCTGCATGCGCTCATTGTCCACGCTAAAGAGAAAAACAATATATATTATTTCTAGATTTGAAGCTTTCGTGACTACAAGGATTCATACTCTTCGTTTTTTCGGTAAGTCACGTAGGTAAATTTTTTAATTTTAATTAATAAAAAATTTAAAAATAATAAATCACGACGTTTCGGAGGCAACACAAGTCTCCGTCATCATTAATTTCGAAAAAACTAAAAGTATGATTATATAATCTCACTTTAAACACAATCCGCAATGCGCACGCATGTTAGCCGTGCATACACTCAACGGCACTTCATTACTGCAAAGCTCAATCCTGGGATGCCAATTTTGGGGATGGCTTCGACTTCATGAATTTCGGGCAATTTTACGACGCTCCGCGCTCCGCCTACGGCTGCGGGCATTAGCCTCGCGCGCAACGCACATAGCTGATGCGAATATGAAACGCCAAAGTGTCACCCCCCACCGCGTGACACGTGCGCCTGCATGTGTGACACAGGATGTAATAATAACAAGTAAACCCGTAAAAACAAAGTTTTTCACTCTAAATCCTTTATATGCGTGGCGGCTAGAGTTCTCTCGTCCTCTGGCTTGAGATGGCTGCAATCTATGGGTCAGATGATTGTCTGCCAGTATTAAGCAATTGGTAATTAAATATTTAATTAATTTTCCCTAAACAGTGTAAAATTTTGGGAAAAAAATTTCACGAAGATGAATTGTCACACACAACGAGTCTGTGTGGAAAATGTCAGCTCGATTGGATCACGGGAAGTGGGTTAAAAAACGACCGAAAGATTTGCACGGTCCTAAGCAAGCAAGCAAGCACGCGAACTTAATATAAAGGATTTAAAAAGTAGGGGTCTGCGATAAGCCCCCAACCCCATCCTCCATCCCACGTTAAGAAAGTGACATCACTGAGTGCAATGATAGTGAGTTTTTGCAGCTCAACAAAGTCGCTGCAACTCACTGTTCTCCGAAACGTCTGGCAAAAAAACAGATGACAAAACGGCAACGTCGTTCAACATTCCCTGGCACCACGTGTCGTGACGGCTACCGCAAGATGCGACCGTGTCCGTCCAGTGCTCGCCGAGCCGCATTATGAAGGTCGCACTCGTTACGCACAGACAAAGTGCTCGCCACAAATGAACCACGATGCCTTGCTGATATCGTAAAAGAGCATAAACCACCATCACGCAAGCCCCTCTCAACATCGCTGCAGTAGTAGCAGCGGCTTTTGGCTGCTCGCCGTCGAACAAAGGCGGCGGTCACCGCATCGCGTGGCGCTTTCAGATGCGCTACTGCGGCCGTCTGGAACGCTCTTCCTTCCGATATTAGGAAGCCACTGGAGCGTCGATTAAATCTCGATTGTAAACTAATTTCCTTGGAACCGCTTTTTGTGTTTAGTTTGTTGTCCATCCCCAGCACCTCCGATTAGCACGGTGCGAAATATGTTCAACACACATCACATACACTCGGAATAGAGGGACTCCTCTACATACGAACACTCGACTTACGAACTTTCAGAGATATGAACAAACCTGTCCGTATGTCCAGTTGCCTGTTCGGACCGAGAATCGTAAGTTTAACCACCGCGCAATAGATGGCGTGGCGCTTAATTCGCTCCGACATTTTCACTCTGTCAAAAGCGATGATCTCCTTTAGGCAAATACCGAGATTTTTTTTTTTGTAACTCAACATTGGTCGGTGATATATTTGTTTTAACTCGAGGTGCAATGGTGCAATGACCGCGTGTGTGTAAGATGTAGGCTTGTGTTTGTATGGCATTTCCAAAGGATGATAAGCTGAAAAGTGTGCAAAGAAGTACGGTGTAGATAATGCACCCCTCGATATCGAAAGCCTGGCACAAAAACCACAACCTGTTACGTAAAAATAAATATCTTGTTAACTATTTTCAATTAAATTTGGTATTCAGTGAATGAGCTCACTCAAGTGGAAACTCTACACACGTTAAACAACTGTTTAGGACCAGACTCGTATCAATGATCCTCGTGGTATTATTTGAAGTGATCATTAATTAACGGGGTGAATAAACGACTTCAGAGACGGGCGAAACTCGTGCCGTGTGAGCGAATCCGAGCGTCACCTGACACTGCGAGTAAGCAATTAAGCACTTTTTTGCTGGCATAAATGCCGATTGAAATCCATTGACAAATCCTTTACTTCAAACTTCATTTGGAGCTT